TACACACGTACACACACACACATACTATATATATATTATATGTATGTATAAATATATAAACAACAGATACACATACACACATATATATATATATATATATCTATGCAAATATATATATATATCTATATTTATGTATATGTATATATATATATATCTATATTTCTATGTATATATTTATATATCTGTATAGATGTATATATATATATATGTGTGTATATGAATACATAAATATATTTATATATGTATATATATTATATTATATATTATATTATATTATATTTATATACATATGTGTATATATTTATATATATATATGTATATATATATAAGTATAGACTCACACTCACACACACATATATATATATACGAATATATAAATATATGTATATATATGCATTTATAAATATAGATAAATAGTTGTTAACACACAATTGTAAACACACACACACACACACATATATATATATATATATATACATGTATTTATATAGATAAATAGCTGTAATCACACATACACACGCACACACACATACACACACACAGATGTTTATATATGTATATATATATATATATATCTGTATATATATATGTACATATATATGTTTATATATATATATGTGTGTGTGTGTATGAATAATATACAAATCCGCCTGATGTTTTTTTTCTTATCGGATTACACACATAAGGTTGAAGCTTCTTTACTTATTTCATCAGCGTAGTTTCATGTATTAAATGTAGCACACTCTATGTTTATCCCTCAGGTCAGCGTCATATGTCGGACGTTCGCACCAATAAAACAAAGGACATCGACATGAACGAATTCTCGCGGGTGATGGATGCGAATGCCACCACCTTCTTCCTGACGGAGATGGTGCGTGGCTACATGGTGACGTTGGACTACTTCTTCCGTGAGCCTCCCACTCTGAACTATCCCTTCGAGAAAGGTCCTCTTTCCGCTCGATTTAGGTAAGGCAGGGCTTTGTGTTTGTGTGTATGGTGGTGCTATATACAGTGACTGATGTCCGGGATGGACTTATGGGTTATCAGAAGGTGTTGGCAGTTTCCTTGTCTCTGCTTTTCAGGGTCCAGGGTTTAGATTATATTGATATGTGTACTTGCGCTCGAGCACCTGATTGTATTTGAGATATACTGTTCCTCATACAAATATATAGTATGTTTGCTTTGATTGTATTAGAGATATAATTTCCCTCATACAAATACATGGTATGTGTGTAATTGCGCACTCATATGTATTTGTGGGCTTATATTTTGTGCCTATATTTATATTGTTATTTTACGAATGAGTCGTTCATGTATATGTGGCAACGCAGACCTAAGTGCAACTGAAAGTACCCGATGCACTTCTGGGCATTGCGGGAAACTGATACAGTGAACAATATTTCTACGGAAGGCTCGACTTAGCAGTTTTTATATGGAAACTCCATACTGCACATGTGAGTGTTGCGTCGTCATAACATATACGCACGTATATATATATATGCAAACATGCATACATATATATATATATATGTAAACATGCATACATATATATATAAATATACATACATATATATATATATAAATATATATATACGTATATATACATATACGTGTACATATATATATATATACACTCACACATATATTTATAGTATATATTACACACACACATACATACATATATCTATTTATATATGTATATTTGTGTATGTATGTATGTATATAACCATATATATATATATATATAACATATATGTATATATATATATATAAATGTTGTCTATATTATGTTATAAACCTATTACTCCTCGTCGACCGCGATAATGACCTCTGCCGATACCCCGTTGAGACTGCATAGTGCATTACGTTGAAGAAGCCTTGAATACAATGGGATAGTACATACACACATAAGTAAATGTATATATACCTTACAGTACATATACAATCATACATGTACATAATAGTAGTATATAGTCACGCGCACATGCACAAAATCCCTAGTCCAGTACTGTTCGCTCAAGTGCCTTTGCCTTGTCTACGTGCAGAGGTGAGCATGTGCTGCGCCGATACCCTTCGGGAGAGGAGCGGTGCATTGCCTGTAAGTTGTGTGAGGCTATCTGCCCCGCCCAGGCCATCACCATCGAAGCCGAACCTCGGGAAGACGGAACTCGCCGTACCACGCGTTACGACATCGACATGACTAAGTGCATCTACTGCGGCTTCTGTCAGGAGGTGTGTGTCTGTGCTGTACCTTGTTATGCAGAGCAATCATGATAAGTGTATGTGTGTGTGTGTACGTGTTTGTGTATATAGCTTGTGTATATTCATTTGTGTATAGTTAGTTTAATTTCGTATGTTAGCGTGCTTCGTTTACAATTTCTCGAGGATGAGTCTCCAGAGATATGACGGCAGAAGATGTGCCCGTGGTGTGTTGGTGTAAGATCAACATATCTAACGATACATGCCCGTCTGTTGCAGGAGGGGTGCCTGTTTGCGTTGAATACATACCATGTCACCACCTCTTTAGCAATGGTGCACACTTACTTTATATCCATGCTCACGCCCATGCTCACGTGTGCATACGAATCCATTGAACATATGTGTGCCGTCTACTACGTGTCTGTATCTGCTTTATTCTGTTGCGAACATTCTAACGCTTGGGTTTGACACGCAGACTTTGTACTGTTGATTTGAGATTACATGACCTGTGAATTTTCTGGGGGCAGTATCTGTGTTGGGACTGTTGCGCTGCAGATGACGTTTAACGTTTAGTTGCGTGTTATTTGTGATTTGTGTGTGCACGTTCGTTGTTTCAACCACTTTGTGTTGCAGACGACGCCGTTAACGTTATTCCTTGGACATGCCGTGTCCCACAATGGAACAATTGTATCAGTGGAAAAAGGGGGGTTTAGGGGTTAAATAAACTCTAAAACCCTAAACCTTAAAAGGGTAGTTCCGCTTGGCCTGCTGTTTGCTGAGTGTATACCTATCCCACAGTGAGTGGATTCTACGCTGGTCAGACCATCGCCAAATGGTCTTTCCCTTCTCAAATGCTGATACGTCCGATCATATGTCCTGATATATACACGTTATATTTACTTCCATATATATATGTATATACTATATATATATATACATTTTATATATAAACACACTTATCTATACGTATCACTAATTGCGCATCGGCCCTTCCCACAGGCCTGCCCCGTGGATGCCATCGTGGAAGGCCCCAACTACGAATACGCTACGGAGACGCACCAGGAATTGCTGTACAACAAGGAGAAGCTTCTGGACAACGGAGACAAGTGGGAGAGTGAGATTGCCGCCAACCTCGTGAAGGAGCACATGTACCGTTAAACGCACTGTGCGTGTACGTGCACGTGTACCTGTGGACTGATTTGGTGAGGGCCTGGAACCAGACCATTGCAGTCGGAGAATGGGCTATCGGAGCGAAGGCGCACCCGTTTCTCCCATTTTGGACCGCCTTGCCCCAAAGGCTATACGCACTTCCCTTGTTCAGGGGCAGACTTCATTGGTAGACTGTGTTTTAGCACTCACTACCGCCGTGGGTGCTCCTGAACCGTTCAGATTTCTGGACCTCAATATTTGCGAAATGCGAATAAAGTAGTTAATATTTGGTTCGTTCTACTTACAGGTCCTTTTATTAATGTTAATCTTTAGTAGTTAATCTTTGGTTCCTTGTACAAACATATACTCTTTAGTGTGATCAACTGTACCGCATAGCTGATTGTGATGCGATACTGCGCACGTTGATCATATTCATATATATCTGTCAGACTTTGCACTTTCGCATAGCTAAGAACAATCCATATAAATATATACGAGTATGTCTAAGACGTACGTCAATATACGTAAATAAGAACAATCCGTATAAATATATACGAGTATGTCTAAGACGTACGTCAATATACGTAAATACATGTACCGCGTGTTATGTTCTTCTTAACACATCACAATATTTTTATTTCATTGAACATCAAGTATAGAGCACATGTACCGTTAAACGCACTGTGCGTGTACGTGCACGTGTACCTGTGGACTGATTTGGTGAGGGCCTGGAACCAGACCATTGCAGTCGGAGAGTGGGCTATCGGAGCGAAGGCGCACTTCTCCCGTTTTGGACCTCCTTGCCCCAAAGGCTATACGCACTTCCCTTGTTCAGGGGCAGATCTCGTTGGTAATATATATATATATATATATATATATATATATATGTGTGTGTGTGTGTGTGTGTGTGTGTGTGTGT